AAAAAAAAAAAAAAAACTAGTCACTTTTTTGAGTTTGTCACCTTTTTTTTTTAATTGTCACTTTTTGAGTGTGTCACTTTTTTTTATTGTCTGTCACTTTTTTAATTTGTATAACTTCTTTTAATTTGTGCCACTTTTTTTTAATTCGTCACTTTTTTTTTATTTTGTCACATTTTTTAGTTTTTTGTCACTTTTTAAGAAGATAAAAAAAGAAAAAAGAAATAATATGTTATATTTTCCTAACATAATCAGCACGTAAATTTGCCTGAACGTGGTGATTATTTTAAGACCATGATTAATGGTGCTGCATAAATGAATGGTGCTATTTTGGTATTTGTCACTTTTTTGAATTTGTCACTTTTTTAAAAAAAGTAAAAAAGTAACAATTTTTATAAAAAAAAAGTGACATTGCGTCACTTTTTCATTTTACACAGTATTTTTTATTTCCTAAAAACTTTTCATATGATTTTTCAAAACATCCCTAATTTTAAGGGTACTTTTGTAAGTACCCCTTTCTTTAATCCAAATGAGCTTATTATAGACTTTAAATTTTAATAGACTTAAATGGGTTGCATATTTAGAATTCAACCCGATCCATTTAATTGCTTTATTTATTTATTTTGATATATACAATTGTCCCATTAAGATTTATTTATTATGAAAATAAATAAACAAATAATCTTGAATTTAATTTTAGAATTTTATTTGACAACGAGTTTTCCATATTCTCCTATTGGTACTTAGCTCTTGTTTGATCCCCATTTTTTCCAAAATACATTTTTCTTTCTTTTCTTTTTAACCATACATTTTTCAATAAAATAATATTACACGTAAATTCAAAATTTATCCTTATTTTTTAACCACACATTTTCCATCAATCTATTATTTCAAAATGCATTTTACACCAAAAATGGGACTCAAACAAGCCCTTAAACTTTGAACTAGATTCTTATCCTTGAAGATAAGAAAAGTTCGAATTAGATTCTATCAAAATCCAACAAACTCATCTCTATATATGGAACTCGTATGCTAGGCAAAAATTGAAATCAATAGAGTTGAATAAGTTTTGAAGAACATTGTCCATCATTACATGCTTTTTTTTTCTTTGTTTTTTTAAATCCTCTCTTTCTGTATGACTTTGCTGTTGGTGTTTTTCGATCATCAACTTTCTGTAGAAGTTC